GCCCTCAGGCTTCCGAGCCTCAGTCGGCGGCCAGCATCTCGCTGCCCTGGACCCTCCGACGGGCGTGCACCGGTCTCAACTCAGGTAAGGGGGCCCTTCTCCCACGGGCATGGGGGCCGAGAACCGGGGACTCAGTCTCGGAGATAAAAACACATAGACCCACACAGAGACACGGAGACACAAGCCGGGAGAGAGACACAAAGACACAAAAGAGACGTACAGACCCCACGAGAAAGGGAGAGAGGCACGTCTACGGGGACAGAGGGACACACAGCCATGAAGAAAGAGGGAGAGACACGAGACCCATACACAAAGACAGGGAGAACGACAGAGACTGATACAGAGATACACAAAGAGACAGATGGGGAGAGAAACAAGACATACAGCAGACACAGACACTCAGAGACGAGGACACACAGATATAGAGGGGGGTACACAGAGGCAGAGGCACACAGACACGCAACTGACCTGGAGAGAGTCCCACACAGAGGTCACACCTAAGTACACAGCCTTGGATAGGCAGACCCACACATGCCTGCCACGGCCTCCACAAAGTTCCCTCTGTGTGAGCTGGCACCTCCGGAGGTCTCCTGGGCTGGGGAGGTGGCCAGGCCACAAAAAAGCTGATCACAGTCCCCACTCTCCAAGACCTTGGGCTTCCTGGGTCCCACGCACTCACAGAGTGCTTTAGAGGGCTGGAAGCCGGGTGGGCAGGGCCAGAACATGCCCACCTGTCCTAAGGAGATTGAGATACAGGCTGCCTACTCCAGCTTCCCCACTGTGGCTATAGCCCCCTCCAGGTGTCCAGAGCCAGGCCGGATCATGGGGTGTTGGCTCTGTGGAGTATTTGGGCCTGCTGGAACCCAGTCCTCTGCCAGGGAGCCAGAGTTGAGGAAGAGGATTCTCTTCTCCTCTCCTAGGCATCATCCTGTCCTTTCTCCTCAACACCCTTTCCTTTACTCTGAACCGCCCCCCCACAGGCTCAGGACTGCAGGTGGACATCTCTGCTGCCCAGGAATCATTGAGAGTGCGGAGAGGACAGCCTCCTCGAAAGACCGGCTATACCTGAATTCTGCCTCGGCATGGGCCTTGCCATTGAGGCAGCCCCGCTGTTGGTCCAGCTGTCTGTGCTGGTCTGAGGGTGCTGCCCATCATGGGGGCAGCCATTTCCCAGGGTGCCCTCATCGCCATCGTCTGCAATGGCCTGGTAGGCTTCTTGCTGCTGCTGCTCTGGGTGATTCTCTGCTGGGCCTGCCATTCCCGCTCTGCTGACATCGACTCACTCTCTGAATCCAGTCCCAACTCTAGCCCTGGCCCCTGTCCTGAGAAGGCACCCCCACCCCAGAAATCCAGCCATGAAGGCAGCTACCTACTGCAGCCCTGAAGGCCCCTGGCCTAACCTGGAGTCTGGGACCTAAGTCCACCTCACCCAGAGCCTGGAATCAGGATCCCAGGGTCCAACCAGCCTAGGGTCCAGAACTCAAGAGTCCAGCTTGTCTGGAGCTGGACCTAGCAACCCAGACTCTAGCCAGCCTGGCTCCAAGAGGGGCCCTGGTGGCCCTGGATAAACAGGCCCAGGGTGGGGGTTCATGAGTTGGTGCTAGGGCCTGGGCCATCTGGACTCTGCTCCATCCCAAGGGCCAGGGGCTGGGTCCACCCTCTTCTTAGGCCTAGTGCCTATAGGCCCTCTCAGTTGGAGAAGCAAACTGGAATCCTTGGCAATAATGGGAGGGTGTCCAGGTTGGGCCCCTCCTCTGGTCCTCCCACTGTTTGCTGGATAATAAATGGAACTATGGCTCTAACCTGAGATTTTCTCCTCTTCCTGAGGGCCCTTCAGTAGCAAAATTAAAGGTAGGGGTGGGTTTCCAGACAGGTTTATTCGTGCAAAGTAGGAATGGGTAATGGTGATTGAGGGCCAAGTCCTGGGATGAGGTGCTGGGGCCAGGGCTGAAGCAGGGTGCTAAGGGCAGATGCTGGAACCTGATAAGGGGTGGGTCACATATTAGATGTTAAGGCTGGGCTTGGTACTAGGGTAAGGGTCTACAAGTACTGGGTTCAAGAAATAGGACAGGGACTGAGGCCAGGCCCTTAGGTCTTAGGTTTCACTTCCCTCACCAGGTTCAGCAGTTTGTCCAATTTTGCGATCTCCACAGCTGGACCTTTCTGTACTTCCTGCCCTTTCTTTTCCTGGGAAGGGAAGTACAGGGGGAGGAATGGTGAAGGATGGGTTACCTCTCTCTGCGTCCCAGCAATACCTCCTCTGCCCAGCCTGCCCCCG